CCTAATAGTCCTCTCACCATATGTCATGATTCAACCTGTTGTACATTCGGTGCCCCACACACATTTCTGATCTTGTCAGTAGATGCCTACTCTTTTATTATTTTTATTATTTTTTAAAGATTTATTTATTTATTTGAGAGAGAGAGAGAGTGGGTAGAGAGGCAGAGGGAGAGGAACTCAAGTAAACTCCGTGCTGAGTGCAAAGCCCGACATGGGGCTCGATCCCATGACCCTGAGATCAGACCTGAGCTGAAACCAAGAGTGGAGGCTTTACTGTCTGCACCAGCCAGCGATCCCCTCCCTGGTACTCTTTTAAATCTATGCTTAGAAAGTACCTTTACCCTCTGCCATCAGTTGAATGTCATCTACTACGAAGAAATGCCTTAAATGCCACTTTCTATGTAAAAGACTTCTTCATGTTACACTGGTATGTAGTTTCTTGCTCTAAATTCTAAAACATTCAAAACTTCTTGACTTGCTTTATATTTATATTTATATCATACCAGTTTTATGAGATTTGCTTACCTCACAAGGACTGCATATTAATCCCAAACCACACTGAATTTTGAATTTAATAAATATAACTAAATAGACCAAATGTCCTTAATAGTTGCTTGTGAAAAATTTCTCTAAATATTACATTATCCTAATTATATTTTCAAATTGGTACTTTCTCCTTTAGGCAACTTATGTCAATACATCATTTATTATGAAACTTTAATTTGTGAGGGACACTCATAATTCTGACCAGCCATTTCCTTTAAGTTTATTTCATTATCTAAAACTAATTTCTACAACATACTGTGTCTTACTTCCTTTCACTGTCTTCCACTTGATTTGTGAAATAATGAAGATTTTTCATTTTGTAAAGGTAGTAAGTACATAGGAAGACAAATCATGACAAAATCCTTTCATTCCTATGAGGATTGAATAAAGTTGGCCTTTGCTTTAGGAAAAATAAAATCAAGTCTTGCACAGGTTGGCTAAAAATCTGTTTTCACTTTAAACCAGAAGGCTTCCAAATAACATGATTTCTTGAGAAAACTCAGTTCCCCTTGGATTAAAGATGAAAGCTATAGTCAGCACTGTTCACATCAGTAAATTTCTTATAAAAACCTTACTTTGCATGTTAAATCCTTTTTATTTTTAAGATTTCTATTTATTTATTTGACAGAGAGAGAGACAGTGAGAGAGGGAACACAAGCAGGGAGAGTGGGAGAGGGAGAAGCAGTCTTCCCGCTGAGCAGGGAGCCCAATGTGGGGCTCGATCCCAGGACACTGGGATCATGACCTGAGCCAAAGGCAGACACTTAACTGACTGAGCCACCCAGGCACCCCTGCATGTTAAATCCTAAGTGATTGTCTGAAAAACTCATAATAAAATTTTTAATTTTTGTCTTCTTTCAAATTACAAAATTCATGCATATTCGTTGGAAAATTTTCTTTCCTTACTTTCTACTTTCAGACATACTCTTCAGAGATAATGTCCATCTACTGTTGGTATATATAATTTCAACACCTTATGAAACCATATCAAAACCTAAACATATCGAGACCCATACCCACATGTATGCTAACATACTTACATGCATTCAGATATTATGTTAAACATTCATTTTTAAAGTGGGAGAGTAGTTGGCATGTCTAGGTATATGTGAAAGATAGTTGTTTTAAGTAATTAGCCCAAAACAATTTATACACAGTTTTTTTTTTTCTTCTTCTTCTTTATGTATGAAGCAATGTAAGAGAATTAGGGAAGATAAAACTGCCAGGACTTATTTTTGCCACCAGGTATGAAAGATAACCCAAAATTTCCCTATCAGATTCCTAAGCATTTTATAGTCCCTAAACTCTCACTGACTTGTAGAACTGCACTTGATATATTTATGACCTTCTTATACAGCAGAATAGAATCCATTCCAAGGCAAGATTATAACGTGTGTTATATATGAGCTGCAGGGAATTCTAGCCTTCAACGTGATCCTTTATGGTTGGAATTTATTGCAAGCTAAGGCTATCCACGTGACTCACAGTTGCATAGGGAGCTGGCTGAGAGCGCCAGAGTTCCAAGTGACCGGTTATGTCTGATTTATGGGCACGTCGCAGGACTAAGTAGGGGCTCAGTGCCCAGTGCATTTGATTCCCTTCTTGCAAAGATTGTGACCTCTCTTTCCCAGATCTACCACCTTCCCACTCAGTATAGTGCTAGAAGTTGAGAGGAAATGCTTTTATAGGTCTCTTGTAATGTTTAGAAGATAAATAACTTTAGAAGAACTTAATTCACCTGTCTTCTAAGGGGTGCGAAGGACTAACAGTACAAGTATTTGTTTTTTGTTTTATTTTGTTTTTTGTAGTTTTGATAGTTTTGGGGGGGTTGTGGGGTTTTTTGTTGTTTGTTTTGTTTTTTATATTTGTGATGGGTTTTGTGGGTTTTTTTGCTGTTATTTGTTTTGTTTTGTTTTACTTTACAATTGAAATATGCAGAAATTTCCTTAAAAATCTATTAAAGAAAACATTTTCAAACTCATAGTAAAAATGGAGAGACCTAATCTTTTTAAATGATCTTTTTGCCTCAAGGTTGCAGATTTTCAGTGATGGGCTTGCTTTATAAGATAGTCCATTCTATTCTGTGCTGCTCTGGATTAATAAAAACTCTCTACTTATATTGAAGAAAAAAAAAAGCTTTGTGATATTTTTTATTCATTGTTGTTATTTCTGCTCTCTGAGACTGCAATGAATCAGCTAATAGATCTTTTCAAAATAACCATTCGGATGTCTGGTGCATCTTGCATTTTTTAGCTTAAATATCCTCAGTTTTTATCACACTTTCTCAAGGTGTTCAGACTTCACATACTGTCTGCCCATAAAATGGTGCTAAATATAGTCCACCTATCACTGCATCTGATATTATTAATGAATATGAAGTTTGTATCACTGCCCCAGCAGTCCGTTTACAGTGTCCTGATACCAATGAGGTGAATTAAATTTATTATTGTAAAAATATATCATTATATAACCTAGCATTCTGACTTATTAAAATGATTTTGAATGTTGCCTTTCATCATTAAATGTATGATATATCCTTCTCAGCTTTGTGACATTCACAGATTTTTAATGCCTTCATTTATGTCAGTAATTAAAAGGGAAATGGGGTATATATTAGAACACAGAGCTATATGACCCTTCACCAGATACCTTCCTGCATATGTTAATGATTCTTAAATTTATTCTCTCTTGGTACATTTATTCAGTCAGGTACAAATGAATTAAAGTTACTTTTTCTTTCCTGGATGTAAAAATTACCTTGAGATTCAGCAAAGTTTGCTTCAGTTTAGATATAGTCTCTACAGCATTCTTCTCACTTAGAAATGCGGCCTAGTGACATTTTTAATGAACCTATCTTAGCCTCCAGGGATCATTGCTGTGTCCTTAAATCAGTTTCAATCCAAATATTTAATAAGTTATTTCATAATCCAAGATTATCAGTTTGTATTTTATAAATTCCATGTATTTTGCTTTCTTGGGAATTTAACTTTTTATAAATAAAAAAATCACATCTGCTAGTTGTGCCTGGCACAGGGTAACCTTGGGTGATACTTACAGTAATCCTATCATATTGGTGTTTTTATCCCTATTTGTAGAGAGGAGCAAGCTAAGCGCTGAGAGATTTTGCTCCGAGTGTATTGTTAGTAGGTCACCATAACTGGCCGGAAGCCGCGTAGTCTGACGTGAGTAGTGCACGATTATCTACTCAGGCACACAGTATGGTTACTGGGCAGACAGCCTTAGTCATGACAACACCACACGCCAGGCTTCATGGACTTCCCAGCCAGTGAAGGGAGGTGGACTGAAATCAATATTGTAAAATGAGTGATATGCCAAGAGGCAGGGGAGAAATGCAATAAAGAAAAATAAACAGTGAGGGGAGAAGTTGGAAGGAGAGAGCCGACTGGGGACCTTGTCTTTCAGAAGGGTGGCCAGAATACGTCATTCTGATAAAAGGATGTCTTTAGAGGGAAAATTTTGGAAGCTTGAAGAAGATTTAAAAACCGCAAGGGAATATTTTGTAGCATTAAACACTTTGACTAAGGGTCAAAGAGATGTAGTTTTGCATCCCAATTCTGAAACCTCTTTGCCGTGCGACCTGAGTTAGTAAGTGCCCTTTGGAAGACAATTTTCACCTTCAGGAATTCATCATTAAAAAGGGAGCAAGTGGGCATATATTTATGTACAGATTATTTATTGAAATATGGTTTATAATGATAAAAATTGACAGCATAGAACATCTTATCAGTTTGTACTAAGATAAATTATGCTATAGACTCATGATGGAGTACCATTAAATCACGTGATACTGCATCATAGTATATACCCAAATGCTGTAATAAATCTGTATTTACAAACATGGGATGATTCACCGTGCTGTGTGTGTGTGTGTGTGTAATACGTGTATATTTAGAAAAAGAAAGATTAGCAAATAAGCATTTAAGTGTATAAAACGGGTAAGTTTGGTTGGATTGTGAACAGATTCTTCTTTTGATTACATTTTAATTTTTATCGGCTATAAACCTATATTTTAGCAAAAGTGTAAATGAGCATACATAGTATGCAGCCCCCCTTCCCCAAGGATTTTATCATTAACACATCGTTTTTACGGATTGCAAGTTCATATCATTGTTTTTTTACCTTCTGGAGGGACAGACTCCGTTCTTTCCCTCCATCTCTGCACTGGTTCTGTGATTGTGCTCATCACCGATCCTCCGGTGGTCCACATGCTTGTCGAGATCCTATGTTCTGAGACACAAATAAATTAAACAGGGAAATAATCACAAATGCCTTCTCTTGTCCTTAAAAGGGGGCAAATGGATCAATTTTTATACATTATTCTTATTCTAAAATGAGCAAGCATAGAACATTTTATGAAACAAGTGGGCTTTGACCGTGAGAAGCTTCTGTTTCAATGCTTTTCTTAACAAAAAGATGCAACTTCTGTATTGCAGCCCCCGATGAACATACACTCCATCGTGGTGCAAGTCCAGTGCATCAACAAGAAGGTGGGCACTGTGATCTACCATGAAGTTCGAATCGTGGTGAGGGACAGGAATGACAACTCGCCCACATTCAAACACGAGAACTACTATGCCACCGTGAATGAGGTTGGTTTCCAGCTCCTCTTCCTTTGTGCCCTTTTTATTGATCTGTGTAGCTCACTGGATACTGTGCATGCCTTGAAGTGATGCTCCACAGTAATAGGGTTATAGAAATATCACCAAAAAATAAATAAAACATTTTAAGGAATAGTGCTTCAGAAGACATAAGATCTGGGTGACATCTGGTAAGATCTCAGGAATTCATTTTGCTATGGGCAAAACCTGATTTCCTTCTAATAATGACCAAAATGTCAGTATTTGTGATCGTCTTGGACAATTTCATGCCCAAATCCACATATATGCTTACTGAGTGAGGCTCAACAGAAGCTATTTATTCTCATTGTAACTTGTTGAACTGATTGTTTTCCATATCTCTGAGATGGTAGCAGGAATTAAATACTGGAAGAGAATATCTGAGGGTGTTTTAATTTAAAGTTATTTCCTTACTTTTTAGTTATTTTTTTAAAGATTTTGTTTATTTATTTGAGAGAGGGAGTGTGAGAGAGCACGAGAGTGGGGGGCAGAGGGTGAGGGAGAAACAAGCTCCCCACTGAGCAGAGAGCCCAGTGCAGGACTTGATCTCAGGACCCTGAGATCATGACCTGAGCCGAAGGCAGATGCTTAACCAACTGAATCACCCAGGTGCCCCAAGTTGTTTCCTTAATTTTAAAATCAAGTTGTAGTATATGCAAATATTTAAATATAAGTCACAACTCAATTCTGATGCTGATTAAATACTTTTTAAAAAATTTAAGTATTACTGCTTTCATTAGAATGTGCTTTTTTGTTGTTTTGCTTTCTTTTGTTTTTCCCTTTGAGCCAAAATCCATGGGCCAAGAAGTCCTTTTATGTTATTAAAACAACAACGAAAACAAAAAACAAAGACCCAGTGGTTACTCTGCTAATTTTTTGTTATTCCGCTACGAAAATATTTCTAATGTATCTCTGGTATCAAAAGCTATTATGCATACTTTAGACACATGAAAAATGAACCACATTTTTAATAGTCCATATTTTAGAAGATTATTTTTACCTCCCAGGTGTTTTTTTCTTTAAAACCTAAAAACTATGTGCCTGCTTTATAGGAGGAATGTGTACTTGGGGCATTATACAGAGCATTGGGCCTTTAACCTCTACACACTTGCTTTTTCAAATTATTTAAAATGTATCTTATTTATCTCAACATTGTTCTATTCAAAAAAATTGAAGAAATGATGTTTCTTATAGCATAAACCTTTGTAGATTGAAATACTAAAAAAAAAAAAAAAAAAAAAAAGCCATAAATTCTTCCTTTAGGGTTCACAGGACAAGCTTACTGGTCAAAGTTAACTTTTTTTTTTTTAATTTTTTTATTCTTATGTTAATCCCCATACATTACATCATTAGTTTTAGATGTAGTGTTCCATGATTCATTGTTTGTGCATAACACCCAGTGCTCCATGCAGAATGTGCCCTCCTCAATACCCATCACCAGGCTAACCCATCCTCCCACCCCCTCCCCTCTAGAACGCTCAGTTTGTTTTTTGGAGTCCATCGTCTCTTGTGGTTCGTCTACCCCTCCGATTTCCCCTCCTGCTACCTTCTTCTTCTTCTTCTTCTTTTTCTTTTTCTTAACAGATATTGCATTATTTGGTTCAGAGGTACAGATCTGAGATTCAACAGTCTTGCAAAATTCACAGCGCTTACCAGAGCACATACCCTCCCCAGTGTATATTACCCAGTCACCCCCTCCCTCCCCTCCACCCCACACTCCAGCAACCCTCAGTTTGTTTCCTGCGATTAAGAATTCCTCATATCAGTGAGGTCATATGATACATGTCTTTCTCTGTTTGACTTATTTCGCTCAGTATAATACCCTCCAGTTCCATGCACGTCATTGCAAATGGCAAGATCTCATTCCTTTTGATGGCTGCATAATATTCCATTATATATATACCACATCTTCTTTATCCATTCATCTGTCTATGAACATCTTGGCTCTTTCCACAGTTTGGCTATTGTGGACATTGCTGCTATAAACATCGGGGTGCACGTACCCTTTCGGATCCCTACTTTTGTATCTTTGGGGTAAATACCCAGTAGTGCAATTGCTGGATCATATGGTAGCTCTATTTTCAACTTTTTGAGGAACCTCCATACTGTTTTCCAGAGTGGCTGCACCAGCTTGCATTCCCACCAACAGTGTAGGAAGGTTCCCCTTTCTCCGCATCCCCGCCAACATCTGTTGTTTCCTGACTTGTTCATTTTAGCCATTCTGACTGGTGTGAGGTGGTATCTCATTAAGGTTTTGATTTGGATTTCCCTGATGCCGAGCAATATTGAGCTCTCTTTCATGTGTCTGTTGGCCATTTGGAGGTCTGCTTTGGAAAAATGTCTGTTCATGCCTTCTGCCCATTTCTTGATTGGATTCTTTGTTCTTTGGGTGTTGAGTTTGATGAGTTCTTTATAGATTTTGGATACTAGCCCTTTATCTGATATGTCATTTGCAAATATCTTCTCCCATTCTGTCGGTTGTCTTTTGGTTTTGTTGACTGTTTGCTTTGCAAAAGCTTTTTATCTTGATGAAGTCCCAATAGTTCATTTTTGCCCTTGCTTCCCTTGCCCTTGGCGGTGTTTCTAGGAAGAAGCTGCTGCGGCTGAGGTCGAAGAGGTTGCTGCCTGTGTTCTCCTTTAGGATTTGGATGGACTCCTGTCTCACATTGAGGTCTTTCAACCATTTGGAGTCTATTTTTGTGTGTGGTGTAAGGAAATGGTCCAGTTTCATTCTTCTGCATGTGGTTATCCAATTTTCCCAACACCATTTGTTGAAGAGACTGCCTTTATTCCATTGGACATTTTTTCCTGCTTTGTCAAAGATGAGTTGACCATAGAGTTGAGGGTGCATTTCTGGTCTCTCTATTCTGTTCCATTGATCTATGTGCCTGTTTTTGTGCCAGTACCATACTGTCTTGATGATGACAGCTTTGTAATAGAGCTTGAAGTCTGCAATTGTGATGCGGCCAGCTTTGCTTTTCTTTTTCAACATTCCTCTGGATATGCGGGATCTTTTCTGGTTCCATACGAATTTTAGGATTATTTGTTCCATTTCTTTGAAAAAAGTGGATAGTATTTTTATGCGGATTGCACTGAATGTGTAGATTGCTCTAGGTAGCATTGACATCTTCACAATATTTGTTCTTCCAATCCATGAGCATGGAACGTTTTTCCATTTCTTTGTGCCTTCCTCAATTTCTTTCATGAGTATTTTACAGTTTTCTGAGTACAGATCCTTTGTCTCTTTGGTTAGATTTATTCCTAGGTATCTTATGGTTTTGGGTGCAATTGTAAATGGGATCAACTCCTTAATTTCTCTTTCTTCTGTCTTGTTGTTGGTGTATAGGAATGCCACAGATTTCTGTGCATTGATTTTATATCCTGCCACTTGACTGAATTCCTGTATGAGTTCTAGCAGTTTTGGGGTGGAGTCTTTGGGGTTTTCCACATAAAGTATCATATCATCTGCAAAGAGTGAGAGTTTGACTTCTTCTTTGCCCATTTGGATGCCTTTGATTTCTTTTTGTTGTCTGATTGCTGCTGTGGCTAGGACTTCTAATACTATGTTGAATAGCAGTGGTGATAGTGGACATCCCTGCCGTGTTCCTGACCTTAGGGGGAAAGCTCTCAGTTTTTCCCCATTGAGAATGATATTTGCTGTAGGTTTTTCGTAGATGGCTTTTATGATATTGAGGTATGTACCCTCTATGCCTATACTCTGAAGAGTTTTGATCAAGAAAGGATGCTGTACTTTGTCACATGCTTTTTCTGCATCTATTGAGAGGAACATATGATTCTTGTTCTTTCTTTTGTTAATGTATTGTATCACATTGATTGATTTGTGGATGTTGAACCAACCTTGCAGCCCAGGGATAAATCCCACTTGGTCATGGTGAAAAATCCTTTTAATGTATTGTTGGATCCTATTGGCTAGTATTTGGTGAGAATTTTTGCATCCATGTTCATCAAGGATATTGGTCTGTAGTTCTCCTTTTTAATGGGCTCTTTGTCTGGTTTTGGGATCAAGGTAATGGTGGCCTCATAAAATGAGTTTGTAAGTTTTCCTTCCATTTCTATCTTCTGGAACAGTTTCAGAAGAATAGGTATTAATTCTTCTTGAAATGTTTGGTAGAATTCCCTTGTGAAGCCATCCTGCACTGGGCTTTTGTTTTTTGGGAGATTTTTGATGACTGCTTCAATTTCCTTAGTGGTTATAGGTCTGTTGAGGTTTTCTATTTCTTCCTGGTTCAGTTTGGTAGTTGATATATCTCTAGGAATGCATCTAGTTCTTCCAGGTTATCTAATTTGCTGGCATAGAGTTGCTCATAATATGTTCTTATAATTGTTTGTATTTCTTTGGTGTTGGTTGTGATCTCTCCTTCATTCATGCTTTTGTTGATTTGGGTCATTTCTCTTTTCTTTTTGATAAGTCTGGCCAGGGGTTTATCCATCTTGTTAATTCTTTCAAAGAACCAGCTACTAGTTTTCTTGATCTGTTCTACTGTTCTTTTGGTTTCTATTTCATTGATTTCTGCTCTGATCATTATTATTTCTCTCCTCCTGCTGGGTTTAGGCTTTATTTGCTGTTCTTTCTCCAGCTCTCTTAGATGTAGGGTTAGGTTGTGTATTTGAGACCTTTCTTGTTTCTTGAGAAAGGCTTGTATTGCTATATACTTTCCTCTCAGGACTCCCTTTGCTGCATCCCAAAGACTTTGAACAGTTGTGTTATCATTTTCATTGGTTTCCATGAATTTTTTTAATTCTTCTTTAATTTCCTGGTTGACCCATTCATTCTTCAGTAGGATGCTCTTTAGCCTCCATGTATTTGAGTTCTTTCCGACTTTCCTCTTGTGATTGAGTTCTAGTTTCAAAGCATTGTTGTCTGAAAATAGGCAGGGAATGATCCCAATCTTTTAGTACCAGTTGAGACCTGATTTATGACCTAGGATGTGATCGATTCTGGAGAATGTTCC